CAGTGAAGCAACGTCCTCCACAACTAGACTGAAGAACAAAACGACAGCAACTTGTCTGTTCCCCTTCCCCCAATTCCCCAGCACTGTTCCCATCCCCGCAATTCCCCAATAAAAATCTTTAAAAAAAAAAAAAAACCATAATGAATAAAATGAGACACCATGAAGAACAGATAAATTTGAGAAAGAACCAAATAAAAATTATAGAAATAAAAAATACACTTATTAGGGGCTGGCCAAGTGGATCAGTTGGTTAAGAGCTCGCTCAAGAGTTTGAGCTGTGAGCAACAGCAGTTCTATGCCCGGCCCGAGCTGAGCAGCCGCTGAACTGCCAACAGGTGGCAGGATGGCTCAGCTTAAAAAAAAAAAAAAAAGATGAAATATATAAAAAAAAAAAAAAATATATATATATATATATATATAGTTATTAGAACAAAAAAACTCATTGTACAAGTTAAACATCTAATTAAATAGCAGGTGAAAAGAGAATTTAGTTCACCAGAAGATAAATGAGGAAATTTCCCAGAATGCATCACAGAGGTAAAACAATGGAAAATATGAAAGAGAAGTTAAAAGACATGAAAAATAGAAAGATAAGGTCCAGTAGGCATCTCACAGGATTCCTAAGAGATAAGAAATAAGGAAAGAAGCAATGTTGGAAGTGATAATAACTGTACATTTTCCAAATTGAAGAAGTATGATGAATCTCAAGAAGGAAATGAAAATAAATTCCATACAATGATACATCATAGGGAAATCACAGGACACCAAAGACAAAGAGAAAATATTAAAGGCAACCTGAGAGAAAAATCAGATTACCTACACAGTATTGATGATTAGGTTGACAATGGACTTTAATGGCAAAAATGGAATGTCAAAATAGAATATTTTCAAAATGCTAAGGGATAACTGACAACATGGTAGCTAGACAATCATGCAAGTGTGAAGGCAAAATAAAGATATTTTCAAAGACAGTTTATCATTAATGGATTATTAATAAAAGAAGTTTTAAGAGATTTACTTCAGTAAAAAAACTGAACACAGGGCTGGCTGAGTGGCTCATTACTTAAGAGTTGGCTTGAGAGTGCGAGCTCTGAGCAGCAGGGCCGCCAGTTCGGATCCCAAATGGGCCAGTGACGCTGTGCCCTCTATAGCTAAGATGGTGAACAACAGCTTGACCTGGAGCTGG